GAGATAAGTACATTTATATGCAACTTTCTTTGCAAAGTATAGGACAAACAAAACTGAGAAATACTAGGTAGCCTTGAGCAAACACATGACTGATGTAGGGTCCTGAATTAAGGTCCTATGTCCTTTTTTATTCATGACTTCACACATGCACAGCCATATTTTAAGCTTCAATCTTTTCTATAGAAGAACATGCTCAAAATTCATAGACTGTTCAGTGGTTTTCTAATCTGGTTGAATGTTTATTTTTAATTCACCAATGCCTAAAATCTACTTCTCTTTCTTCAACAGAACGTCTTAGAAATTTGGAGGCACTTTTCCTTTATATGCCAGTATGGACTGTGCAAGCTGGATAGCTGTCAGAGTATTTTGAAAAAACTGCAGATCTCACAGCCTTTTTATTCCTTCTGATCTCACAACTGTTTGATCATGATTGGACATGTGCTTTCCAGATCTAAGACTAAGGGAAGCAGGGCATTTCACTAACATCTTACATCCACTGGTACATTTTCCTTCATTCAGTAAGACCTCTTTCTGTTTTTAGTTCAAGCTGGATTGCACATCATCCCAAAATCAATTACTGTACAGGCCCATATCCTTCCAGTAACTTTCTACCAATCAAGCCTTCTATTTTCTAACAAAATAACAGCTTAATTTTTAGTGGCCAACACTGTTATTGTACTTAAGTAATGCTTGTTTAAGAAAAATGCAGTTTGGCTTGCTGTAGCCCAGGTTCTGGCAGTGCCAAGGACTATACCATACACACAAATATAAAATCACAGCACATACACTTTTTCTTCTGCTTATTGTTATTTGATACTCTGAGCAGAATCTGTGGTTTCTATTGTACCATAAGTGCCAGGAAGTTTCTTGCATTTGCAATCTGAATTAACTGAAAAATGTTTGCCTACAGACAATGCTGATTTCATTAGGAGATTTGTAGCATTTATATCCTGTCTTTGCCCCATCAATGCTCAGGCTGCACAACTCTGAAATTGAAGTTGGGTTGGCACAGTGGCTTTGCCAAAGGGCATCTCCCAAGCATCATAATAGCTCAGTGGTTTGCAACTGGGCTCCCAAACATTCCAGCTCTCAGTAGCACTTGATATAAGCTGTACTGAAAATGTACGGCTCTGCTGCAAGATTTTACAGAGGTAGGCAACCTGCTGCTTTGGACTACAGCCCCCATATGCTCCAGCTGTAACAGCCAGAGACTATGGGAGTAGCCGTCCAAAAATCTAGAGGGCACCAGGTCCCATTGTTGTGCTAGGATATAACAGCTTTTTAGGTGTATTTATAATTACGTACATTTTCTCATGTTATGCTTTTTTTCTGCATTTGATAATCAAGATTAGTTGTTCAATGAACTTGATTACCAGTTTGGTTATCAAAATCCAGATTCAGTAAGTGTTCACTGTACAGACAGACAATGCTCTCTTGATGAATTATTCGTTAATACTCTCCTTTGTATTATCCAGAAAAGAATGAAGTGAAGCATTCTAATACTAGCCTTCATAATATATTTAATTATGATGCCTGAACTAACAAGCTCATAGGCTGACCCCCCTCATGTCATCCTGATGTATCATTTTGCATTTCATTGCTGTAAGTCAATTTGAGATCTTCAGCAGGTTGGAAAGGCTAGTAATGATGCTCTCTGCAGTCTCCAGGGAGTCCACATTATACACAGCTTGCATTATTTATGAAGCCTAGATGATGCCTCCATTAGCCCTGCAGGATTACACACCAAGAGATACCACTTACACTTGACAGTACCGGCTATTGCACTGCCAGCACAGCTTAGTTCAAGTTTACCCATTCCCTAGACTGATCTTGCCTTCTGTTTACATACATTAAGCAGGAATGCAGTGAGAATTTTGTTTGGAAATAATTGTTGCCACTTAAAGTTCATGTCTGCAACCAGACAGGCTTTAGACACGACACTGAAAAGCACTGCCAAGCTCTCTTCTGTTCATACGTGCGTGAAAGACAGAAATTCAGTTTTTAAAACCCAATACAAGCCCATGAAAAACGGATTAATAACCATGCTACAACATGAATTTACAATCATGTTTCAACCATCCTGCATTTTGGGGTTGCCTGTGAGCAGCTGTGATCTTCTTCCATCTAGCATTACTTCATGGAATTCTCTGTTAGCAAACAGCTTTTTTCATATCTAAGCTCTCCAGCTGTCCAAAAACAAAGGGGGTAGGGGAACTGCCTTGTTAGCTTCACCAGTGTAGAGGTCCTGCCTGTCATTTTTCCTTCCCTCTAAAAGCAGGATGTAGAGGGCTTGTGCATGCACATGTTTTTCCCTTCAAAAGGGTATACATATGCAGAAAGCATTGCTAAAGCAGACATGATTCCCCCACTCCCTGCCAGTTTCACTGGAGTACAAGAGTAAACAGTATATGAAATAGTGGTAGAATGATGCTTGTGAGATTATGTCCAAGTCTATTCCAGAGCAGTATAGTATCTGGTAAAAGCAGGTGGAAAAATGTTTTCTCCCACTCTAGCATGAAGGACTGATGTGGTATCTTAAGCAGGAAAGGCACAATTTGTGAATGGTGGCAAATATGCATTAGCAGGGTAGGGAGGAAGACAGAACGATAAATGGAAGTGCCTTAATTACTACATTTGTATCCTACCTTTTTTCCCATGAAAGTTTTAAAATGTGCAACTGTAGCCTCATAGGTTTTCTACCATCAGCGGCATTATCTAGAACATCCTTCACCAACCTGGTGCCTTCCAAGATGCATGGGGCTACAATGCATTTCAGCCCCATGGGCACTGCAGTCCCTCACATCTTGAGGGCACTTTGCTGTGAGATGGGTGTTCAAGAATCCTTGCTGTTTAAGGCACAATCCTGTGAGTGTTTAGACAAGAGAAAGACCTACAATTCCAAGTATGGCTGGCTGAGATGAACGTTGTAGGCCTTGTTTCTATTTAAACATTCATAGGATTGCGCCCTTAGCCTCTCTAAACATTCCACTCCTTTTAAGAGTTCCAGAGTCATCAGATCTTCAAGGATACACACACAACACAAATAGGGAGGAGGGAACAGCAGAATTGTATTTCATTACATCTGGGATGTTTGTGTGTGTGTGGGGGGGGGGTCAGAATGAATGCAAGGACAAATCAATACCCTTGTAACTTGATCTGGCCTTGAACTGAAGTGATCTTATCAGGGGAGGTGGCTAGGTATTGTAAGGCTCTTCTGAAAAACATATCCTGAAGATCCAATTAGTTATGCCTTGAGAACAGAAGGCTAAGGTATTATCATCATGAAGGGCCAGAGCATTTTGAAAAGCATTTTAAACACAAACAACACTATAGTTATGCTAAATTGCCTCTCAGCAGGTATTTCTAGACTGCTTTACCTTGCAGATAAAGAAAAAGTATCCAATAAACTCAAGACAGCAACTGCCTGGGAGAGTATTATCTATTTTCACTTCCTCCCAGCCAACAGCAATTGTTTGGAAAGAGAATCTTAGCAGCTAAGTTCTAATTCCTAAATAGGGATACAGACAAAAAGAGAGACAATTGCAGAGGGCATAAGTTAGACTAGCCACAGATTTTTCCATTTCTTGTAGCTGCACTTCAAGTGTAAACTCTAAATTTGCCTTCAATTTAATTAAGAATGGCTCTCTTCAGTTGTCTAAAGTGTTCAGGAGTGATTCATCCAAGCCCTATTTGGAATATGCCCTTTTACCAAGAAAGGCGTTCTCCTGGGAAGTGTATCTACCTTTCTGTCCATAAGGCAAACAGACTATATGGCCGAAATGTTGATTTGTTATCCTTTTAAAACTCCAGTTGTAACCCGTTTCTGGGTTGTTTACAATATATAAACAACAAAAAATTAATTTCACTACAATAAAGATGCTTTATTGTAGCCACTCCTCAAATTAAAGCAGCCATTGATAGTCCTACCCTGCAAAGAACTGCTATGCCGTCTGTCTCTGTCTGTCTGTCTGTCTGTCTGTCTCGCTCTCTCTCACACACACACACAGAGAGACATACACAGAGCTTAATCAACTATTAACAAAAGAACAGAAACTGCTCTTCCTAGCTCTTGTCAAATGTTTCCCCCCACCAGTTCCCATAAAGGCTGCTGGGATTTTACATTGGGTGGGGAGAAAGCAAAGCGTCCAATATAAAGGCTCACCACTAAGAAGCCCAGAATCCATGGGATTCAGGAAAGGCTGAACGTTTTCAAAAAGGGAAATTAGAGGTACAGAAGCCGCCTACCGAATAATAATAGTAATAATAACAGTTTCGAATGCCTATTAACATCAAGCACGAAAGAGGTGGTGAGATAACCGAGCCGCAAAGAGCACACTCTATTGTGTTGGGTTGAGTTGTTTCTCTTCAGTACAGAAATCTAGTCGTAATGGCCTTATCCTGCCCCGAGAGAAGGAAAAAGCCGCAGCAAGTTTCTTCCACTCGGCTTTGAACACAAAAGGGGCCCGGACGCCTGGAGAATCGCCGCACCGGGAACAGCAGCCCTTCCTTTTAATTTTACTTCTCCTCCCCTCCCTAAGAGGTGTTAGTGAGGAAGAAATGGAAACGGAGCGAGAGGTCCCCGTCGGGTCTATTTTGCTTCAGGAGTCACAAAGGGTCTCCTCCATACATAAAGAGAAACTTTTTAAGGCCAAGTCACCAGCGCTGCGGCTGCGGCTCCGTTCGGCTTTCCCCACCGCCGCCATCATGATGGAAACGAAAACTCATTCCACACACAGTCGCCGAAAAAAAAAAAAAAAAGTCTTACAGCCTTTTCCCTGCACGGTCTCTCCCCGCCAGCCCTTTAACTCTAAAGGGGCGACAAAAAGAGAGCAAGCGGGGTGGGGGGGAACAATCGCCCTTTAATAAGAAAGGAGCGGGGAGATGGGATGTAATAGGCACTAAACAAGAACCACTACGCGCAGCTCGGCTGAGCGGGTCGAGTCCCTGAATAAGGCGAACTCCGGGTAGGAGAGAGAGAACAGCAGAGCAAGAGTTCTTACCGGTTGTCGCTCGCGCGCGGGCGGGCGGAGAGGGAGCAAACGAGCGCGCCCAAGGCCGGACAACCCAGCGCAGCTGTGGGCAGATCGGCAAAGTCCCTCCCGCTGCCTGCCGCTCTGCCTTCTCCCTCGCTCACTCGCTCTTCTCCAGCAGCCGCCAAGCAGCCCCGCGCTCGCTCTGCCGCTGCGCCTGGATTGATCTGGTCTCACTGGCGTCAGAGAGTCGGAGCCACCCAACCTCCACTTACCCCACTGCCAATACACAACATACATACATAAGAGCGCGAGCGCGCACGCACACACATGCAGAGACTGCCTCTCGGCCAGCTTAGGGAGCCTCTCCAATGCCCGCCCCCGCTCCTACAAGAAAGGCATTACTGGCTTGGCTGGAGAAACCGCCCCGTTGCTTTTCTCGCTCGCTTTCTTTTCTTTTCTAAGCCCGCCCCATGGTGGATACTTAACCACGATTGGGACGGGCGAGCTGTGGTGGGGTTTGGAACTTCGTCAGAAGCCATTTGCGAATGGTCGCGAGCAACCGGGGCAGTCTTTCATGGTGTCGTTTCCAGTTCCCAGCAGCTTTGACGTGGGCCAGGCGGCAATCCGCAGAATTGCTGCCGGGGAGCGTGGCCCTGTCGTCCGTAAGGCCGAGCAACAGGTCCGGAGGAGGCTCTGAAGGGAGCGACCGGCGTGGAGCTGCTCCTGTGGCCTCCGATCCCGAGGGTATTTGCATGTGTAGACGGTTACATACAAACAGCCACGTGGTTTTCCCTTAATAATCCATATTTTACTTTCATAAGTTTTAATTCATGGAACCCCTTCGCAAGAAATTTGCGTCGCTCTTCTGTCCCCCCATCAATTAGGCTTCCTTGGCCCCGCCCGCACGTATTGCAGGAGAAAAACGTGCAAAAACGCCTGCGTTTAAGGGATAGTGAATCAGGCAGGTTCAAAAATTCATAGAAGCATGTATATGCCATTCCAGAAGCGTTCCCTTAAGGCTGTAATCCTAAAACCTTAGCCAGTAAAGTCACTTGAACACACTAGAACTTATTTTGAAGTAAATATGCATAAGGTTGAGAAGTTATAATATGCAAACTGTGTCTTAATTGGGTCACAAAACTTAACAATCTACTTCATGAGATCACTGCAGTGCACTGCAGCCTGTGCCAGGCAGTTTTTAAATAACCTGTAGAATGTCATGTTGCACAAACCCCAGGCAGAAAATACTGTGCAAAAACTAAGCAACTCCCACATAATCCTAGAACTGGCCATGTGGTGGTGGTTTAACCCTCACGCAGTCCCTGCCACTTGAACTTAAACAATATAAGTATTTCCTGAATATTCAAAATAGCCACCCCCTTTTTCCCTACCCCACTATGGCTTAAATAAATGGGACAATTTATTTGATGATGCAAACCAGTTCCAAGCATTTACTGTGGCATTCAGTTTTATGGTCTGATGCACTTTTCATCAGATGCATAATGCCATGTGTCAGACGTGAGCTCCAGTCCATGAGAATTATGCCACAGTAAATATGTTGGTCTGTATGATGCCATAAGGCACTCTTCTGGTGCCAGAGCATATATATGCTCACCAGCTTTAGGGCCTTAATTTGTACAAATTATTGGAGTTCAATAGCAAGTTACTTTGGATAGATCTATACCGTTAGAAACACTGATTAATCTGATGGAATACTCACAGGATGTGGGCATCATATAAAACAAATGTAAGAACATCTTAACCACCAGTGTAGAGATATCTACTAATTTATTATACAAATACTGAACATAGGAACATAAAACCAAAGGATTAGACCAGACATCTATCTTGTCCAGCATTCTGTTCACAGAGTGGCCCACTTGTGGGAAACACACAAGTAGGACATAAATGAAATGGCAACCTCACAGTATGTTCCCCAGCAACTGCTGTGCATAGGCACACTTCCTTGATATTAGAGATAGCATATGAGTGCAATGGTGGTAGAAGTGAAAATGGCTGGATTACTGCTTGCCATGTGTTAGACACCAAGACTTCCCCAGGAAAATGAGCTAATAATAAGTTTTATTTTACTGACCAGAACCATCACATTAAAATGGTAGCTTAAAGAGTCAACATTGGAAATTATTATTATTTATTTCATTCATTTCTATACTACCCCAAGCTGAAGCGCTCTGGGCAAATCACACATTATTGAAGAAATAATAAAGAATGTAAAAAGTTTATAAACCCCAAGCTTTCTGCTACTGTAAGGAGTGACCAAAGCAAAATTTTCATTTTCTAATTTATTTTCTTTTTCTGGTATTTTCAAGCTACTTACAAACAATCCTATGTACTTCTGCTCAGGTAAATTGGTACAGGATAGCAGCCTTACTAAGGTAATAAGAACAAGCTAGCTGTTTTACTTCATGATTCATATGCTAGTGCAATTTAACTGAGAATGAGTCACAATTTTAATTGCGCTCAGATTCACAGACACAAGTTCATTTTTTGGAAGTGACGCTTTAGGGTCTTTGTTGGCGTTACACAGAATCTTGGGGCTGAAAATGTCCAGTGCACTTGCATGATAATTTTCAGTGTCCTGACAGCATTACAAAAAAAATTCCAAGAAAAAAATCTGTCTTTACTAATAGTTTATCAATTTCAGTTTTCAGCTTGAAGCCACATTTTGATTCATATCACCCACACCAGATTTACAATCTGACACAATATATTAAAATGTTATTAATGTTGTACTCATCTGTAAAGCACATTATACTAATTCTCATTTCTTATTGCCACAAACCTAGAGATTAAGAGACATACCCATGTGTGGGAGTGTAATTGGCCAGGGAGGGATCTGAACCTGGTCCTGTTCTCCAATGCTTGAACACAGTATGCTGTCTACAACCTGCAAGGGGAGCAAAGAAAATGGTAGAGATAGAACTATGCCCACACAACCAGACATCCTAACAGCCTAATACATGTGGATTCAAGATGTGTTTCTAATATGGAAAGTCTGGGAGGGGCAAAAGCAGTGATTGCAACATGAATAAAACAGTACAGTATCTCAATACTCTATTACCCAAGTCCATGCTAGAGGATTGAGTGCACATAAAATGCCCTGAAAGGTCACACTAAAGATCTTTTGCACTCCAGATGTGTAGGACCAAAAACTTGCATTATTCCTAGTTGACATGACCGATGATCAGCAGTGCAGGGCATTTTTGCCCAAAATATTTGGAGGGTACCAAGTTGGTGAAGGCTGGACTATTCTTTCTCAGACAGCTGCCAACACAATCAAACCCAGCAAGTTTACATACAAAGCATGCTGACAAGGTACACACTCTAACATTTGTCAGTAGCAAGTAATAATTACATGCATACTGCATCTGAATGTAGAGGTTCAAATTTTCATCTAACATCGCACAAGCTTAGTTCTGTAGTTAGATGACAAACTTTTGCTGGGACTATAACACTTCAGAGTGCAGTTCTGGGCTAACATGACTGTTTCCCCAGGAAAATTATGATTATTATAATTATTATTATACCATTATGCATCAGTCCAGAAAAGCTCTGATGTGTGGGATATTTGGACATATGTGTTTCTTGGTGTGCATTTGACTGACATTATGTTGACACATTGGCTAAAAAATACATTTCACTACCAGAAGAAGTTTCTGGGAACATCAATGAGGTTCTGGACAGCCACAGAAGGATAGGGACTGGTGTGTACATGCTTCCTCTCTAATTAAAGAGTTACTTCCCATAATTAAAGAAACAAGCAAATGCCTGTTTTGCCACCACACTGCCAATCAACCCATCTTTGAAATGGCCAGTCCAGAGACTTGGTGGGAAAGTTGCTCCAATCTTGATATGTATAAGCCCCACCTCCTGATTAGATGAACAGGTTGATATACTACTTGGATTATACCTTTTTGTTTTGAATATTGTATTGTGTCATCCTGTCTAACTAGCTAGATTTAAGTCAGTCAAGTGGTGAGGAAACCTCCCTGAATTTTTTTTTCATTTCCCAAAGTCCAACTATTCTCTTTCTCTTGACCCAAGTCCAGCCTCTGATTGATGTAGTACTTAGCTTTGTACTTTATCACTGCTCTGAAGCTCAGGCAACAGTTGTTCATTCTTCTTGCTTGTGGGCCTCAGCTCTAAGAATAACCTGGGTTTCACCTGGTTTAATGATCCTCGTGATTCTTTCCTAGACTGATTTTTCATTCTGATGTCTATTCTCCCATTTCTGGGGGTGGGGGATTTCTCCTACTTTCCTCTTGAACCACTTTGTTGCCAGGTTTGTCAGACATTCCACACCCCTTTCCCATCCAAAAGCTTTAATCATGTTATAGAAATAATGGTGTGTAGTATCATGGTGTAGCCCATTATCTAAAATTTGGCCTTGAGGTTTTTGCACCATTTTTGAATTTGTAACTAAAAGTTGAAAAAAATGAACACATTTCCCCATCTATTTCCAACCAGGGAGGGACAGGAATTGTTTAGGCATTCCTTAGCTTGAAGTCTGCTACAGGGCAAGGCACTGAGGGGAAGGGTGATGTGGAGAGGCAGCAGAAGTGCACACCCAGAAGGGGAGGGGAGGGGAGGAGAGGAGAGGAGAGGGGAGCAGCACACCCTCCCGCTTCAGTCCTGTAGACTGAGCTGACACACCACTCACCTGGTCACAGTCTTTTCCACTATGCTGAGATGAACTGTATTAAATTAATGGTGTTTAATTCTACATGTATACATATACATTGTTGTTGTTTGTTGTTGTGAAGTCGTGTCCGACCCATTGCGACCCCATGGACAACATTCCTCCAGGCCTTCCTGTCCTCCACCATCCCCCGGAGTCCATTTAAGCTCATGCCGACTGCTTCAGTGACTCCATCTAGCCACCTCATTCTCTGCCGTCCCCTTCTTCTTTTTCCATCTATTGTTCCTAGCATTAGGCACTTCTCCAGGGAGTCCTTCCTTCTCATTAGGTGGCCGAAGTATTTCAGTTTCATCTTCAGCATCTGGCCTTCTAAAGAGCAGTCAGGATTGATCTCCTCTAGGACTGACCGGTTTGATTACCTTGCAGTCCAAGGGACTTGCAGGAGTCTCCTCCAGCACCACAATTCAAAGGCCTCAATCCTTTGGTGCTCAGCCTTCCTTATGGTCCAACTTTCACAGCCATACATTGCAACTGGAAAAACCATGGCCTTGACTATATGCACTTTTCTTTGCAGGGTGATGTCTCTGCTTTTTAGTATGCTGTCTAGATTTGCCATAGCTTTCCTACCCAGGAGCAAACGTCTTTTAATTTCTTGACTGCAGTCCCCGTCTGCAGTGATCTTGGAG